CACGCACGCACGCACGCACGCACGCACACACCCACCCACACACACGCACGCACGACGGTTGACATTTTCCCAGCGCTCTGTATGTATGTGTGTATTCGTGTGTGTGCATCCGTACGACGCTCATCGGCTCGCATAGTCTTTCGTCAGTGAACCAGTCGCGTGTTTATCGTAGTGATATAGTAGTGGTCGGTAGTAAACAGTGAGCGGCGAGATCCCCTTAATGGGGTGTGCGTACGCGGCGTTGAAATGCATGCAGAGACAGCAGAGTTGGCTTTAGTTGCAGTTTTAAAATCTAATATGTGTACGTCCGATGTAGTGTTTGTACGTGACCGTGCCATGTGTTCTACAAGACGATAAAATCACTGTTACTACTGCAAAATAGGGGAGACGTTGCTAAGGATGACTTAGTGTTGGCAGTATTGTTGGTCGTTTGTAGAACCAATGATGTACTGCTTGGCTTACTACTTGAAAGTTTGGCATGAATTGGATAAAATGCAGGTATATCGAGTTGTTTGTCTGGCATACATGCTTTGTCTGTTATTTTTCAATGTTATCAGATGTTATGCATCTATTTGTGGCATTTTCATTATGCGATTTATATGTAAATTAAGGGGTCCGTATTGCATTCTTTGCGTTCACGTTACCAATTCAGTGTCTGTATGTATATTCGTGAACCAATATCTGCTCATCTACGTGATTCAGTATTTGTATACATGTGTACAAGATTCCGTGTCCGTGTCCGTGTACATGATTCCATGTTCGTCTGGGTTCTTGATCCAGTGTCAGTGTACGTCTACATAAATCCACGTCCGTATATATGTTTTCATGGTTCAGTGTCTTTGTGTGTGTGCAGGATACAGTGTCTGTGTATGTGTGCATGATTTAGGCCCTGTATGTACTTATTCATAATTACACCTGTCACCTGCACATGGTCATGACTCAGCCTCTGTATGTGGTTGTACTCAATTCGGTGTCGCGTGTCTTTCCTGCGACGTGCCTTCCTGTATGTACATTTCTAATTGTCAGAGCTCTTACTCCAGATTAGATGTCACCATGTGTGATGTGTGTGCATGTGTATACAGAATTCTGTGCCAAAATGCATGTAAATTTCTTAATGTACGCTCGCATTCAAATATAGGTGTCATCAAGTGTGCGTACAGAATTATGTGCCCATACACACGTACATTTCATAGTATCTGAGCACTTACTCATATCAGACTTTCATGTCACCAAGTGCGTACAGAATTTTGTGTCCAATTGCACGTAAATTTCTCAACGTGGACATTTACCATATTTTAAAATGAATGTCACCAAGTGTGTTTGTGACTGTGAGTGTCAGTTTAGTGGCAGAGTGTGTGTATGTGTGTGTGTGCGTGCGTGCGTGCGTGCGTGTGTACGTGCGTGTGTGTGTGCGCGCGTGCGTCCACGTGTGCGTGCGTTCGTGTGTGGTATGGTGTGTGGTATGGTGTGTGTGTGTGTGTGTGCGTGCGTGCGTGCGTGCGTGCGTGCGCGCGAGTGTGGGCGTGCGCGTCTATGTGGGGGTACGTGCAAAATTCTCTGCCCATATGTGTGTGTGTGCGTGCGTGCGTACATGCGTGCGTGCGTGTGTGTATGTACATAATTCTCTGTCCACGTCCTTGTACAGTAAGCAGCTGAGCACTCATTCACAGTGAGGTGCACGGGAGAATGCGTGCACGCATCCATCTATGTATGTGCGTGTTTGTGCTTGCAGCAGTGAGAAACTGTCGTCGTCGCTGCCCGAGAGCGAGAGCCAGCGGGCAGCTAGGATGCCGACGGCGCGGGCGAGGATGCATGCGCAGCAGCAGCCGCAGCAGCAGCAACAACAGCAGCAGCAGGACAACGCACCGCGGTTCTTCATCGGCGATCGCACGCAGTCGCAGTCGGAGGCGTCCGAGAGTTCGGACCTGGTAAGATGGGTGAGGGTGGGATGGGGGCAAGGTGGGGTGTGGTCACCACTGTGGTGGGGGGTAGGGTGGGATGGGGCAAGGTGGGGTGTGATCACCACTGTAACGTTTGTTTTTGACGTTACTATGTTTGTGAAGTTTACAATGTTATGTGTAGCCAAAAGACAGACAGAAGTCAGAGGTTAGTTACCATGACTCGCCGTTTAATGTTAACTGTTGTTTTCGACTGATACTGTTACAATGTTACAAGCTGTGGTCGCGGTCGTGCCTGGTTGTCAGGAGACTCGCCTCGATTCTCCCCTGGTCTCGGCCTTTATAGCCGCAGGCACGCCCGCGGCGCATGCGTTTGATAATAAACAATACGGTACAGTAATACATACTACTAGTACTAGGGTTATATATATGTCCTTAAGGGACCTAATTGGCATTACTGCTACAACTAATGACTAGAAATTACACGCGCTCTTCGCGAAGGCATAAACTTTCTAAAGGCTTAAGGCACTAAATCTACACACGATAAGACAACATCTAAGAAATTGCACATAATCATCCGACTATTGGTGTTGGGTTGGATCCCACACCGTACATAACTACTACAGGTGAAATATTACAGGTGAAATATTACATATGGCCTCAGCGGTCGCCTTCCTCCTCATGTCCATTGGGGGGGGGGGTGCCTGGGACATAGCAGTCATTACAGCCGCTACGGCCAGCGTCTGTGCCATCTGGCGGATGTGTTCTGGGTTGAAGGTGGTGTGCGCGGGGTCGTCCCCTTTGCCGACCTGGAACTCATACATCATTGGGTCGTCGGTGGTGCCCGACCCGACAAAGGAGCCGACGTACTCCCTCTCTGGGAACGGCCATGGCCGATCACTGTCCCACGGGTTACTATCGGACGAGTAGTCGTCCGTAGAGGGGTCAGTAGAATCGGGCTCCGGGTAGGGGTGGCGCAGCATTGCCGTGCCAATATACCGGGCCTCCGGCGGGGCGGGGAGCACGTGTTCTCCCCGCCCTGCGGCGCAGACTTCACAGGCACAAACAGCGCTGGTGCATGCGGCGCAGATGCAGGCAGATGCGGCGCTGGCGCTGATGGCATAGGCGCAGGCAGATGCGGCGCTGGCGCTGATGGCGTAGGCGCAGGCAGATGCGGCGCTGGCGCTGATGGCGTAGGCGCAGGCAGATGCGGCGCTGGCGCTGATGGCATAGGCGCAGGCAGATGCGGCGCTGGCGCTGATGGCGTAGGCGCAGGCAGATGCGGCGCTGGCGTCCATCGGCAACGGAGGCGACGGCGCCGGTGGCTGCCGTTCTTCGGGTTGTCGCCCGTCTTCACTGTTGTTGGAGGGGTCCTGACAATGTTTAAGTGGTAATCATAATACGTGGCACCGTGTCATTACCGAGCCAACATGGCATGATAGTGGCGCGAGACGATTTAGAGAGTGCGGTCGCGTATAAGCCGTGCTAAACGGCATACACTACGAATACATGCATTTGGATGAGGCGCGTCTTACTTATAGTGTAACGTTGTTTTTAACGTTACTATGTTAACTGCGTAGTTGTAGATTCTAATGTTATATGCGTAGCCAAAAGACATAGGCAAAGAGAAGTCAGTTGGTTACCATGACTGATGTTGTTTAATATAGATTTGCACTGATGCTATTACAAGCTATTATAGATTACGTCGCGAGTACGCCTGGTGTCGAGAGAGCATTCCCCGATTTTTCTTGTGCCGCGGCTCTTATAGCCGCTGGCACGCCCGCTACGCATGCTCACGCACGCGCCGCACACACCAATCACAGCGTCGCACACACCCGCGCACACGGGGCTTTACCACCATTGCCCTGGATGGTGGCGGCACCTAACGGCAAAGACTCGCTATTCTGTACCACCACCCTCCAGGCGGTGGCCTAATACAATAATACATTAAGGTCTACTGGTGTGGTCGTCGTCCACACCGTACAGGGCTACTAATGTGATAAATATGTCCTGAAGGGACCTAATGGGCTTTACTGCTACAACTAGTGTCTACAAATTACATGTTTTATAATGTTGATGACGCTGATACTTCAGCGGTCGCCATCCTCCTTATGTCCGTTGGGGGCGTGGGTGGCTGCGACATAGCGCCCAAGGTGGCTGCTGTGGCGAGCGTTTGCGCCATTTGGCGTATGTGCTTGGGGTCGAACGTAGTGTGCGCCGGGTCGTCCTCGCCGACTTGAAACTCATACATCGTGGGGTCGGAGTTCGTGCCCGACCCGACGAAAGAGCCGACGTAGTGTAACACAGAGTTTTACGTTACGGTATAGTTGAATATTGTAATGTCGTACTCGTAGCCAAAAGACATAGACAAAGAGCAGAGTGAAAAAATATATACCATGACTAGTTGTTTAATTCGCACTGGGTTTCACTATTGTTTCACTGATACAGATACACAGGCGGTCGCGTCTAGAGTTAGGAGAGCATTCCTCGAATCTGCTTGTGCAGCGGCTTTTATAGGCGCTGCCACGCCCGCGGCGCATGCTCACGTACGCGCCGCGCGCGCCAACCACCGCGTCCGACACAACCGCGTTCACCTGGCTTCACCACCTTCGCTCTGGACGGTGGCGGCTCCTAACGGGGAAAACCCACTATTCTGTAGCACCACCGTCCAGGAGATGGCGCCGTCTATTCGCGGGGACGCATCACGGGCGCGCAATATGGCCGCCGCCTCGAGCGTTGATAGCTTTTCACGCTGCATTTAGCGCATCTAATCCGGCTAATCCCACAACCCGGTGACACTCCACGGTCGGGCGGTTCTAAAGTCGCATCGCGTTAGCCGCGGGGCATCACCGGGTCTCGCCTCCATGCCAGGGCTGCCGGCACTAATCACGACACGTACACGCCGTCTAATTGGGAGGGTCGAGTTAATCCTCCAATGAGCCGGCGTGGTTGCCGTGACAGCGACTCGACAGCGGCATGTCGCGGCGATGGCGGGCCACCATCTTGATTACTTTGACTGCTCAGCTCGCTCAGCTCGCGAAGGAACTCTCCTGAAGGGACCTAATTTGGAATTAGTGTTCATGACGTCGCATTTGTTATCGGGGTCATGGTCACCGTCGTCATCATCTTGATGATCGTGTCTGTTGGGGGTGGCGGGTGGCTGCGACATAGCGGCCAAAAGGGCCGCTGTGGCGAGCGATCGTGCCATTTGGCGTATGTGCTGCGGGTTGAAGGTGGTTCGCACCGGGTCGTCCTTCTCGCCGACGACGAACTTGTACATAATTGGGGCATGACGTTTAATGCTGACTGAATTTCACTACTGCTTCACGGTTACAAGTTCACAGGCGGTCGCGTCTGGAGTCGGGAGCGAATTCCCCGAAACAGCACGTGCAGCTGTTTTTATAGGCGCCCCCCACGCGCGCGGTACATGGTCACCCACGTGCCACGCGCGCCAACCACCGCGTCCGTCGCATCCGCGTTCGCTTGGCTTCACCACCTTCGCCCTGGACGATGGCGGCCCCTAACGGGGAAGACCCGCTATTCTGCCGTACCACCGTCCAGGAGGTGGCTCCGTCTACCCGCACAAACGCGTCACGAGCGCTCAACATGGCCGCCGCTGCCAGCGTTGACAGGTCTTCACGGTGCATTTAGCACATCTAATCCAGCTAACCTCGCCACCCGGCGACACCCCACGGTCGAGCGGTTCTAAAGTCGCTCCGCATTAGCCGCGGGACATCACCAGGTCTCGCTGCCATGCTATAGCCGGCACCACTAATCACGGCACGTACACGCCGCTAATTGGGGAAGGCGGTGTTAATCCCCTGACCAGCTGGCGTGGGTGCTCGTGACGTAGCGGCACTCCGGCAGCATGTCACAGCGTGGGCGGGCTGCCATCTTGGATTGCTCCACTCGCCCGGCCAGCAGGCCGTATTGATCGCTCGTGGTTGCTAGGGGCGACGCCGTAATGTCATGCCTCCGTCGACCGCCAGTAGCGACGCGGCAGCCCGCGTCGCGTGTGAGGGGGAGGGAGTGCCCTGTAACACGTGGTCGTTACATCTCCCCCTCCTCCTCTACCAGCTTCTCTCTTCCCTTCCTTTTCCCCTTCCTTCTCCAGCAGCTTCTCCCCCTCCTCCACCAGCTCCCTTCTCCCCCTCCTCCACCAGCTCCCTTCTCCCCCTCCTCCACCAGCTCCCTTCTCTCCCTCCTCCACCAGCTTCTCTCCCTCCTCCTCCACCAGCTCCCTTCTCCCCTTCCTCCTTCTCAACCAGCTTCTCCCCCTCCTCCTCCACCAGCTTCTCCCTTCTCCTTTTCCTCATTCTCCACCAGCTTCTCCCCCTCCTCCTTCTCCAGCTTCTCCCTTCTCCTTTTCCTCATTCTCCACCAGCTTCTCCCCCTCCTCCTTCTCCAGCTTCTCCCTTCTCCTTTTCCTCA